GTAGCGATTCATTTATGAACAGTATATAATTTAACCACTGCATTTATATTTTGGTTTTAAACAATGTTGTAATAATAACAACAGGATTTTTTTAAAAGAAAAGATTATTAATTTTCCTTTTATTTCTTACTGGAAAGTTTGCTGGTCAACAGAGGCACACGAATAGGTCATCTGCTGAGCAGTCCCATATCCAACAATGTCCACTGAACTGTGTGTTCCTAAACACTTGCATATGGACCTGCATTGTATTGGGCTGTTAACTGAGTCACTGTCTGGCGCCAATTTTGCTGTACTAAGTGGGACAGTCTCCTACGCCCTTTTTTTATTTGATAAGGCGTGGAAGTCCAGCACCTTGGCGTCGACTGCTGGTTTCTCCGTTATTTATCTCTTTTCCATAAATACCAACAACGGCAGATAATGAACAACCTTCCAGTCGCAGTTTCGGAGATATTCATTCCGAGTTTTCAGGCCATTACAATCTGCCATCTATCAAACTAACTTAGATCAGCAGCCTTTCCATTCATATGCAAAAGTTAGGTGTTAAATACCATTCCCACTTAATCACGTGCCCTCCATGCCATCCAGACAAATTCATTGAAACGTATGGGAATAATCACAATGTCTTGGCTCGTCAGTGTGTGTATACAGGGTGATTCTAAATTGTTTTTACAAATTAAGAAGAGTGATAGTACTCATTCAGATGTGCAATAATTACGGTAGAATATAGGGTCACAATTCCACTCTGAGAGGCAGAAAAGAGGAATATTAGAACTCCAACCTGAACTTACAACAGTATTGGAAGAGCGAATGAACGAGACCAAAATTTGCGCAATCAGTTTAGTGAAAAACTCACAGAGAGTGAACAAAACTGATTAAACGGAAAACTTGGCGTTCAAGTATTAATTCGAGCTCAGACTTTGATGGCAAACACTCAAATGCACATCTTTGGCTGGAAAGGTAACAACCTCGCAAATAATGTACAACTTACATTGTACATTACAATGTAAGTTGTATGAGGATTAGTTAGGTAATCAATTATTTGCATAATTCGAAGTAGTACATTAAAAGCATTATATTAATTTTAGTTAAATTAATTGGATTAGTACATTAGTTACTTACATTAGTCCGAATATTAATCGGATTAATTAATTAGGTACATTAGTGAGTTAAGTACTACATGTATACTCTGTACAAAGAATTGGGACACTTCTCTACTTCCCGTTATACTGGGACGATTGATAAAAATTAACTTCTGTTTTTCATGGCTCCAAAGCGCGACTTGGGATATATATTAGATTTATATGCAGCACTATTCAAACATAGGTATTTGAAACGGCATAATTTTTTTCCATATTTCGATTCTACGATTCAAATTATAACAAAAGTTTTGTAAAAATCTCAAGATTAGTTTTTAAGAAATTTACTATAAAAATTTTAGCGAATTTGGTATATATTTATGAATAATTAATCGATTATTAATTTTTATTAAACTTAATCGATTCCTTCTATCCCAGTTCGAAATTTAGATTCGATTCAAATAAAATTCACAGATATTTTCTGATTTATTCCTAACTTTTATTTATTGTAGCAATTTGTTTTAATTTTTCGAAAAACATTTTTTGGTTATATCTTATAAAAGTTTTATCATAATCTTAAAGTAGATGTATTTCTAGGCATATAAAAAACAGAATTTTTTATTCAAAATTTCCCAGGATTTACTAGAATTTATATACTCGCGCGTTTTGAAATTTGGCATAATTGTCATAAGCGATAATAACTCCAAATGTGGATTACGCACTTTGTTAAAATTATTTGAAAGAATGGAATGATGCATATTTTTTCCTACTCATGCACTATGAAAGGGAAAGGAATAGTTTACTCTAAATTAAGAATTTCGCCAAGTGAATAATTTTTGGCGAAAACTGAAAAATGTTCTCGAAGATAAATTTTAAAATTTCTCGGCAAGTTTCTCAGCAAATTCTATAAAATTTAGGCTTAATTTGAGTTCTAGAAAAAAATATGGGAAAAAGCGATACGTCATTACAGGAAAAGTCCGATTATGTGTCAAAACACCTATGTTAGAGCAATGCTTTATATAAATCTAATACATATCCTAAGTCTTGCTAATCGGAACATGGAAAGCGCAAATTAAGTTTCGTCAGTTGGCCCAGAAAAATATTAAATATAGATTTTTTGTGCTGTATGTATCTTACACTGTGAGTTATAGTATAAGGTCAATACTCAGTAAGTTTCTAAAGATAAAATATAATGTGCATGCAAGGAGCTAAGCAAATATTTATAAAACAGCCAAAAAAAGAATTTAAGCGCAAGCATTTAAATGCGCAGATCATAAAAGTAAACTAATGTAAGATTTAAGTTTGTAGTTCTAACTTCTTATAATAAATAAATAATAAATAATAAAATAAATAAATAAATAAATAAATTAAAAAAAATCTGAAAACTTTCAGATTTTACATTACAAAGGGCGTTACTTTAACGTTTTATGTGTTACTTTTATTTATTAAGTATCATGTTCTTCGCACTAAAATCATAAAATTCAATTCAGCAGCAATATCGAAAAATTATTTTAAAAGAGCAAATCTTTAGAATTTCCGATACAAAGTCTCGCGCACTAGAGATAAAAATGTTTTTTCTTTCGTTTCTTTCGTACAGTGTTGCCATTCCTCGCTTTGAAATCGTTGATTTTGTTAATAAAAAATTCTTTAATGTCTAAAAAAATATGAAATAGATAATAAAACAAATTTCAAATTCCAAATTAGGGCTTCCAGATGCCCATATTCGGTGGAGGAGTACGTTATTTAAAATTTGATGGCTCCAGGTAACCTAGTTTTATCACAATCCGTGAAACATACATACATTTATGCAGATTCTTCATTAGTTAGTTTGTTTAAATATAATACAGGGCTGTAATATTTGGCGGAGACAGTTTGAAAAGTGAAACAACGCAGAAAGTGAATCTACGCAAAATGCCAAAACGAAATTAATAGCCCTTCTGGGCTAACACCCTTTGGGTTAATAATAAATAATAAAATTAATTAATAAACAATAAAATTAATTAATAAATAAAAAATAAATAATAAAAATGATTAATAAGTAACAAAATTTATAAATAAATAATAATGGCAAAAATAATAAATGTAAAAGTTTAAATAAAAATAATGATGAATTATCCACTGTGTTCACAAAAGTTTTTGTACGTTCTTTATTATTCATATTTGAGAGCACAAAAATGATTAAAATGTCGCAACTATTTTCACAGTTTCTTATTTAATACAACCAGTTATTATGATTTGAATTTGCACTTTTTCGTTTCCTCACCAAAATACAAATGAGATGGATATTATTTAACAGCGATGTTTTTGAACTGTTAGGTAGAGCGTGTTTCTGGCTTCGCGTGCACACCACGTGTTAGTTTCCGTCAGCTTGGATACTTGTAATTATTTGGCTTTGCATTATTTCGTTGCTGACATCCTAATTTTGACGCTCTGTTAGATTTACTGAGCCAGCTTATAGCAAAAGGTAATTGTGTAGTCTATTACTGTTGCTCCAGTTTAACTTAAATTTAACTGTTCTTTTAGTTGCATCCTCACGAGGTGTGTCTGATATTTTTAGCACAAGACAGTGCGTTTATATTTTCAAATCTGTTTAAATGAGAAGTTTATTTAAACCTTCCGATGACTTAGTAATTATTTCAGACACAGAGATAATTCGCATTACATCTGTTGTAGTAATTATTATATTTTTTACCAGTTCCAGATCAAATTAAACTCCGCACATTTATGTTTCAGAAATCTTAAATTTGAAACAAAAATCAGTTTGTAAATACTATGAAATGTAATTTTTTCATAAACGTTCAATAAACTTAAAATATTTTTAATTAATGCAAATAAAGTTTCAATTTGACTATGCGCCTGTAATGAAATTTGTCACAGTTTTTTAGGGTATAGATGCTATTAGATTCTGTAAATAGGACCTTTTTTTTTAAACAAAAATACTTTTCAGACAGCCTGAATAACAATGCTCTGTCTGTCAACTTCAGAAATCTTTTTCTAACTCATATTTCATTTTTCCATTTTTAGCTACCTATAGTTACAAACATGTCACTCTTTGATTTTTACAGGTCCCCTAAATATGATCACAAACTTCAAAATTAAATATGTAATCGGTTTTTGGCTAGCTGATGTCATCCGGCTACAGCGCAATTTATCAAAATCAAATAATAAATCTAAATTGATGCAGTTTACACATTTTTAGAACAAATTCGATTAAAATTGAAACAAAGCAAATGATTTGAAATAATTTTTTTTGCAACAGATTATCATCTGAAATATTGTCTGCTATTTCTATATATTTATTCTTCTTTCAAAATGTCACATGTAAACAAACTATGGATTGAAGGATATGTTTTTGCGCCTTCCGAAGAGTAATATTCATATTCTGTATCTAAAAGCGTTGTAAAATGCATGATATTAAAATTTCTAAATACGAAGTAAGCAGCATTTTTAATCGGAAAGGAAGAAACCGGCAGTCATTATTTCTACATGAAAATGGAACTCCGAACAATTACTCGAAATACGTAGGTACTGTTTTCTAATTTTTTTAAGTTAAATTTTGACCCACGATAAAGCATGGGTTTACCTAAATGAGTGCAAATAAAGTTCATTTATTATCAAAAACGAAGAGGAAAAATGTACGAACTTGGTTCCGACTATGCAAAGAAAGAATCTGTAAGAAGTTAATGATTGTCACAGGATTTATTTTTTACGGTGGGAAATAAAAAATGATAAGAGTATACAAAAATATTAAAACCAACTCAACGTACTATCAAGAAAAAGTTTTACGTCTGATATTTACGAAGAGTTCCATTTCTTTATACCAGAGAGTGAAATTTCATCAAGACAAAGCAACAAGTCATTCTTTGAAAAATATTAATACACTCCTTGAAAGAAAGGAAATTGATTCAAGTATTGCATATATACCTTTTTCACGTATTTCTGTGAAGTCCTCTGATGTTTTGCTTAAGAACTATTGGGCATCCGGTCTCTTCAAAAGAGCTCTTCCTAAGCGAAAACACACCATGATTGATGGACTCTGGAAAATAGTAGAAGAGGAATGGAAATCAATACCCCTGGAAATTTTACAAAACGTCGTCTGTTATGGTAATCAAAATGCACACGTATAATATAGAAAAGACGCTCCCATGTCAATATTTAAAAAGTAATCTTTATATTTTAAAGTGTCATTAAACAGTTTGATCAAACAGCCAAACCAAGTTAAAGGATTGAGGGAACCAAGTTGGGGGAATTAAAGGAAAATGAATGTAAGCATGTATATACACTCGTGATTTGTTATAGAATTGTTAACTGCTTCTTAAACTAATAGTGGAACTCTCATTTGAAGCCCCCACTTCAAATAATAGTTGAAGAAATTTTTAGGAAGAAATTATTAGGAATTTATTAAGAAATTTCCAAATATGTTAATTTAGCATCTCATTTGACATTCGGTAAGGAAAATATGAAGAGTATATAAAGAATGGTATCTGAGATTCAGAAGATGTATTTTGGTATGCCATGTGCAACTGTAAGTCATTACAGATAATATTTCAATATTTTCATTTAAATGTGCAGGTTTTTAAGCTATTCACCGGCCCATGTCAATATTTACTTGCAATCGCAGACAATGTTTTCCAAGAATCGTGTTTCCCTTAAATAAATATTCCCTGCTTTTCATATTTCAGATTAGATATTTCCTGCTCGTTAGATATTTCCCTGCTTTTCAGATTGCTTCTGTTTATATTAGTTAAAAAGCTTGGAAATTTCTGATTGAAGGAGCGAGGCCTAAATTCGCATATCCAACTTCATTCAGATCAAGAACAACACCTTGAATAACACACTTTTCTAAATGGTTTCGGAGTTCAAAACAGCTCTTTTTGATTTATTTTCTCACAAAAGCACGTTGAGAGGTTCAAAATTAAATGTTTCGCTTCATGTTTTACTAAAGCTCAACGCACTCTTGCTTTACATAAAATGTTTGATATAACTAGTGCTTATTTATGCTACAAATGCAGCGAAATAATTCAACAAAGCTTTTCCAACGACTAGTTATTTTGAACAATAAAGTGTTAACGGCCGAAGCTTCAAAGGATTTTCATGGCTTAACTGATCAGATTCAAACTGCAAATCAAACGAGAACTCACTAAAGTAACGAAATATTCTTTCGCAACGTTTGAGAAAGCAAATTGAGAATGTCCATATTCACTGAAACAAAAGGAAAGGCACAAACGTATCCAGTTTAACTGAGTAAAGAATAAAATATTTTTGTATAGACTTACGTCGAGACAGAACATTGCAAAAGATTAATTTCTGTGCCTGTACTTTTTGTGTCGCATTTTTGACAGTCTCGCGAAATGTTCCAACCGTAAAATGACAACCATAATTTAAATAGCTGAAGATTAGAAAAACTTTCAGTTTTAACAATATCTTTAGCGTGCTATATATATATATTAGCGATATATGCCTACCAGTCGGGCTCATTATGTGATCTCACTTATTTAAGGAATTATACATTAAATTCTATATTTAGTATAGAGGAGCTCTAAGACGGATTTTTTATTGTTGTTTCAAATGGCCACATTCCTGCAGCTAACGTTGAGTAAGATGTACCAAGCGAGGCAAACGAATACACCCGTCCGAAATATGTAGCCCTGTCTCAGTTTTGATGGAAAACAACCTGTGGGACGGATACGTTGTAGAGACATTAGGTTGATTAGAAGCAGAGAGATGAAAACTGAGCAACGCCCTCGCAGGTTAAGTACTCCCGTGCTACATAGATATTATACACGTACAATCATCCAACCCATCTCCGAGATTTTAACCTGGGCCCAATGATACGAGCCAGCAGGGCTAATCGCTACGGCGATCAGGGCGCCCATTTATTCAATTAGAAAAATAAGCATTTTAGGAAATAATATCATATTGGGTAGCTTACATACAAAGTATTCAAATTCTAGTATACAGACATTTTTAAGCTTTCTTCCTGCCATGTTATATTATAGAGAGTACTAGATTATCGAATTGAAAAATGCTAAAAATTAACTGTATTCTAATAATATAAAAGCCTGTTAAGAAAATCAGGACTGTGAATTTATAGGCATGAAATCCACATTTTTTTTTTTTTTTTTTTTTTTTTTTTTTTTTCTAAAATACATACGTAAAAGTATTAAAAATAAAACATCGAAACCATCATTAACATACCTATCTGATTGTCGTTGTTACACCTAGCTTCCAGGATGTAACTGGTTTCAAGGAAGAACAGCTTTGTCAGGAAAGGGAAAACTCTGTTTTTTGGTGCGCTCGTCCCTTTTATGCTCTTCCCGCATTGGGATGCGTACGTGCTGAGCTCGTGACATCACACTAGAGGTTTAATTCGTTTCTGAGTTCTCGGAATTCTGATGATAAGTCGCCATTTAGGACAAACGTAACACCTTGGCAACTGTCATCATAAAGTTAGCAGGAACCCACAAACAGTTGCTACAGAATTATTTTTCTGGCTTTAGAAAGAATGTGGCAATATATTGTAATCAACTGATATCTTCTACGTTCTGAAGAACAGCTTCTAATTATTTCCTTTATGCTTTAGGCCTTTTAAATAACGTACAAACATTTCAAATTTACTGAATAGAAACGACTGTTTGCTATTTTCCTTCACCTTGAACCTTATATTTGATATCGAGATTGCAAGATATTTCTTTGAAAACAGTAATAATCTTTCAGCGTTAAAAACACAATTTTGGAGCTTTAGAGTCTCATATAAACACCAGAAGCATCAGTAGAATATCTAAACTCCTATCTTTGTTTTACACAAGGTTAAAATATATATAAGATATCCTTTTTCCTGTTTTTTCTCCTTTTTTGTTTGTTACTTCTCGATGAATGGAGAAATCTTTCTCTCTGGAGCTTTCAAATAAAAGGTTTCCCCAAAAGAGTTTTTTTCCTCACGTGTATCGAACTCTCAGGCGAAGTAGTTTCTTTCATCGTGGTTTTGTGGAAGTTTCCGAAATGTGCCTTAGAACAAAGAAACTTGAACTATATTTGTATTACTTCTTTATACAGAAAAGAAAAGTCCCATGTTTTTAGCAATAACAAAGAATTCTGTTATAATATTCCCTTTATTTCATTGCTCTTCAATTAGTTCTGGTTCCTTAGAAATAATTGTATAACTATCTTTGGCAACTAAAACCTGATGCTGTTTTTAAATTTTTGATAATTTTATTTTGCGTAGCATCTTATTTGGATGATTTAATAAAGGGAGTTATGTAATATAATTATAACTTTTTTCCAGAATTGCAAGTTAAAATTTTGCTAGTTAATCATAATATTTGCTAGTAAATGAAGTTATCCTTTCTGGAGGCTTTTATCATTCAAAGAAAACTTTTATTTCTTTATCTTTTCTGCGAAGGTATTACAATAATCTTCAAAATGTGTAAAGTAATCAGGCAGCAGTGATACATCTGGGATACTGAAACTGTCTTCCATTGGCCGGTTGCGACAGCGCTTTTAATGTCTTTCCAAAAATTACGTCGGGAATAAGGGTGATACGTTTTCACGGGAATGAATTTCTTTCTAAATACTCATTAATTAAGAATATGGTGTTACAAGGTGCACTGCTGTGATATAACGCTTAGTTGGTTTTGACTCTTGGTGTTAAACACATGATCCTTATTTGAAGTCTTCAAGAACTTCTGTCTTCAAGAACTTCTCGGTAGTGCTGTTTCTCAGTTGAGCGTGGAAGCAGAAATTCTGTTTGGATAACTCTCTGGCCACTGAAAAAGCGAATCAACTTGCTTTTGATATTCGATTTGCTCATTTTTGGCATTTGTCAGTTTCAAGGATGTCGTTCCTGCCTCTGGCGCTTTATTTGTGTACTTGAACACCCAAGTCTCGTCATCAGTAATGACACATTTTAGAAACTAGGGATCATTTTCAGTCCGCTAAAAAAATCAAGGCACTTGTCCCTCCTGTTGTTGTTCTTCTACTCTTTTCCCACATATTTCCCACATTAATTTAACTTATCCAAATATAATGAATTATTCTATGATCTAAATTTAACTATTCTCAAGTCGTTTTGACTGTCGAGATACGATCAGAATGCATAAGATTCCACTTGGTTAGATTAGTATATTTGAATATGGTAAAGGTAAGTGGACTATCTGCCTAAGAACAAGGATGCCTCGTGGAGGGCTTTTTGAGGGACACTGGCATGTGTTATATTAAACATGGCGAAAACCACGAAAATCAATCATGCAGCCAGCCCGGTCGCATGATAACGAACCATGCCAGGTCGAATTACCAGTATTTGAAAAACAAATAAAAGATATTTTTCTTTGCCGACTGACAACATTCTTAGAAGTGTCTGTTTGCGAGGCGAGTTGAATATGAAAAACCTAACGTTTCCAGAAGTGGCAATTTTTATAGAGCCACGTATATGATAATACACGGCAGTGAAACATAGGGCAAATAATTAAACAAAATGTTGAAAGAATTCACTGAAAAAGTTTGTAAATTGGAAACATTTTAAAGCCGAATATATTACGTTGGAATTTCGCAGTTATCTAACCTGAAAATAGGGTATTATAATAATTCGAGATAAATAAAAGATCTTTTGACTCACAGTGTGCAAGAAGTTGATTTAGGCATATCAATTTGTTACAGTCATTCAAACGTGACCATTTGCGAAGCAAAGACAATAAAAAATGAAAGGATCTTTATGTGTTAATAATGAAACTGAAAATGACAACATGCACGTATGAAATCATTTGGTCTCCAAAATCGAAATCCTTGAGAGATGCTTAGAAAATACAAAATAATTTACATGGAGAAGACTTTACGTCGAAGAGAAAACTTTCTGTAAGCAGTTGTTTTCTGAAATAATGAGAACGCGAAATATAAAACTTATCAAATAAATTCTGCGACGGAATGGCTAGAAAAGCGCTGAATAGTGACATTCGTCGGAATTTGAAAAAACCACGGGGAATTTTATTTGGATGACGTTTTTATAATATGAGAAGAAGTTCCTGTATGTTGAGAATTTTCTCAGCGCAGAAGTCGAAATACTAGAATTTTATTTTTCGATGCTTTAACTCTCCAGTTCGGGGCTTTTGAAAGGACGTGTTTGCTCTTCAGCTTTTGAGTAAATCTTCAAATTTCATATTTCTTATTGCGTTATCCGTTGAAAAATGTGAGAAAAAAATAAACATAGATATCTTTCTAATCCAGTGACAAATAATATTTATTTCTCAGGGTATCCAGGAAATCGCAGAATAATAGTTACTCTAGTAATGTAGTTCGTATAAAATAGTTGAAGCGTAATATTTCAAAGTTAAACTAACAATTTTCGTTCGACTTTTAGCATCCTTTGACCTTTGTCTCCAATTCGCACTGTTCTAAAGGCACATAATTTTATTTAGTCTTGTTGCACGCTGTCTGCTCATAGGTATATCCATAAAAAACAGGCGAGATGAACCAGAACATTTAACACTTATTAAGATAAAAAATAGCTACATATAGAAAGATAAATAAATATAAATAAAAACAGAAAAGAAATACGCCAAAGTAAACTATAAAATTATCAAAGCATTAATCCTTCATTTGACGTAGATTTAGTCAATAACTCTATTGATTTCGAAGGCAAACAGGTACATGTCCCTCTTCATCAGGAGCAAAGAATTCTGTAAGACTGGAAAGTAGTCCAAGTTCCAAGTGGGGCTGATATGCCGAGATTAACATGCGCTTCGCATTGCCTGATATGTGACTCTGAGTTCAACTTAGGAAGTGGAGAAAGAAGTATGACCAATTGTCTCGTGAGCCGTCGAAAATATTTGGTTGGTTGAGATCGTCTGAAAGTTGAAAAAACATATTTTACAAAAGATACAGAATGAAATTAAATAGAAAGCATACGAATAGGGTGCAGTTGACGCAACGGTTATATTTATACCTTACGGCAGTAAAGCGAACAAGAAGGTAGCGTCATCTGTCGGCAAGAATTGTAACGAAATTGAAAAATTAGGTTAATAATGTTTTAAAAGCCTTAGGACTGGACTGCATTTAAAATCCTTAACTAACCAAGAAAAATCTTTGTGAATGTGAACACCTTCAAGAAAATCCAGTTCACCAATGCAAGAAGCTTTTTGAATAATTTTTGCTGACCCGAAGTTAAAATTACAGTATAACTCCAATTATCCGAATCAATTGGGACCGGACCCCATTCGGATAATTGGATTTTTTTCTGAATAAAGGGTCTACGTACATTTTAATTAATTATTGTACGTACAGTGTGTTGAAAATGTACGAAAAAAATTTTCTTTTAAAGAAAAAGAGGTTTTAATTAATTAAAATTAAAAGGCAACATTTACGTGCATTTTATATAGCTACTGTACAGTACTTACAAGTGCTTAAAGAACACCTCGGTTAACGTAGGTTGTTTGACTGTCTTCATCCATTTTCGGGACGTGAAGTCGCTCGTCCGTTTGACAAATAGAAGTTGAATGTGGTCACACTCGGGCTGACGCTCTATCCATTCAGCGCAGTTTCAAGGCCGGCAGACGCTTCACTAGCTGACGGTCCCGTGTCTGCTTCAATTTCGACATTAAGATCATCTTCTTCCTCGACACTTTCTTATCTCACACTTTCAATAAATTCATCATTTAGAATTTTAAACCCAGGGTCTGACGAATTACACACCATCCATTCTTCTGTATTCTCAGCATTAACTTCTGAACATCGAGGAATTTGCAAAAGAATGCTTCTTAAATCCTCAAGTGACACGCCTCATTTTCTCCTGTCTCTTCCCTTTCCTTTTTCTTCTTTTCTTTCTCTTCTTCAGTTGATTCTGAAAAATTCTGAAATTCTTAAAGCGATTCGGATAGTCAGAGTTCGGACAATTGGAGTTCTACTCTATTATTAAATTTCCAGCTATGATTAGCTGCTAAAAATTTGTTAATTTCTCCATTTGGGATATAAGTTTCGTGTTTCTTGATACGAAACTTTGAGACTCTTTTAGTCTGGCCGATATATCTCAAACTACACTGACACGATATTCTATAAATTCCCGAAGAATTAAAGTAAGGTATGGAATCTTTAAGAATCGAACTATCTTGCGAAATTTTCTTAAGATATACAGATTATTTCTAAATGATTTGCCTTTTTCTTACACTGATAAACGACATGCTTTTCTAGTACTTAGAAGATCAATAACTGATGTTAAGACTCCCCCACATTCGCAAACATTTTATGTTCTGTCAAGGTGGAAATTTTTACTTTTCATATAGGGAAATAATGACGCCTGATTTCGACTATTAGAGGGAAAAATAAATGACTTAAATCGTAATCATTCAGAGATGACAATTGCCTTTATTTCTAAGACATGCATGATTATCACTGTACAATTGCATGAGAAAAATTATATTTCTTTTGAAGCAACATCTTTGTTAGTTAATGTTTTAATTTATCGAGAAAAGAAAATTCGGAAGACCGGGTTGTTTAAACTTTACTAAAAATGATACAGAATTTTGTCTATACAAACTACACAACCATAATCACACACAGACAAATTCACAATACTTTTATAAAATAATAATAATAATAATAATAATAATGCGTTTCAAGAATATTTGGAAGAAACTGTCTTCGTCAAGAATTAAAAATATCCTGCTGCGTTTTATCGGAACTATATTAGTTAAACATATAAAAAAATTAATAAAGTTTAAAAGAAGAAAACACCTATATAATGCTATCTGTGAAACAAATTAACATTTTTGTCACGCGGTCATTAAAATCTATCTTTGTTAGAGAATGATTTAAATTTAGATCCTGATCTTCCCATGGCTTTCAAAAGGCTCAGCTTACGCACTATTTTTTCCTTATTATTTTTCATTTTTATTTTAAATGAATAATGCTATAATAGTCGCTGTTAAATGTTTTTCACTTTATTTTCTTATTCGTGAATTTAATGAGATATTTGTGGCAAAAAAAGAAACGTATTTTTGCTTTTTTTTTCTTTTTCGAAGTGGGTGTTCACTCTCAAATGCTTAGAGCTTTTCTGTGAAACACACTCTAAATTTAATTTTGTTCAATTTTAAAGTTGATGCACGTCCTTCCTTTTATTATATAGATGCCATTTTCTTACCTATCAATAAATTTTGTTATTCAGTTCTTACAGAACTTGTC